CCCGTACTCATCAAGTCTGGCTGCCTGATCGACTTCTAGTTCCGCTGTTGGAATATGCAATGCCGGACTAGATGTCAAGTCTCCCGAATCGCGGCGAGGCATATTTTGAATTTATCACGGAATGCGTCATGAGCCGAGCCTGCCGCCAAACAAAATCACGGCAGATACCATGTTTACAATGCGTGAGTCCCATTTGTTTCTAAAATATTTCGGCATCCATTACGTTGCTTATCTCGAATTATCTCAAAGCAAACTTCAAGTGCAGCAGCTAAGGCGCTTTTCGAGAGTCATAAAGATTGCAGCAAAATGTGATTTTCAAAAAAGTAATGTGCCTTTTTTTATTTTTATTTTACCAGCTTGCAATCTACTTGCAATATACGTGCAGCGTACCTTCGAACTTGACTAAATTGCTTTTTTAATGTATTTGTACTCTACTCAAGATAGTTCGCACTAAAAGTAACTTGCATACTACTCTAAATACATTTTAAAATGGGTATTTAATATCTTATCTTAAATACTTTTGAGCATTTGACACAACACTGTATCATTAATAACACACAAGCGTTCTCGCACTTTGTTCAGGTTTCGGCTTCATTTTCTTCCCTATATCGTAAATTATGAGAGATGTGGTGAAAGCCATCCTGACCGCACATTGCCTTAACGAACGCACGCACACATAGGCAAGCAGACGAGCAAATGGCGGCCGATACGAACTGCACTAAAGGCTGGAGCGCGAGTAGAAAGAACCAACCGAAAATCGAGAGGAAATCGCAACACGCGAGAATCGCTTCGGGCTATTTACGAAAAACAAAGGTATGTCGAAAAATGAAGTTATGTTGCAAATGCGGTTTTGTTAAAAGTATGTCTGTGATTACGGCTGCACAAGACGCAAACCACACGCAACCTAACTGTGACCAGTCTTACGATCTCAATTAGTCGTAAATTCCGGACCAATGGGAACAACTGCCGTCTGGAAAGCATCGCCGGTTTTTATTGTCGCCAAAGATGGCACGACGAAAGGGGCACTTTGCTTGAGCGACAGCTATATGGCTAAATAGTTGCTGGATAGAATAGGTTACCAGATATAGGAGCGGAGCCTGCGAGGCAAGCAAATAGTTTTTCCAAGTATCGACTTTAAGAAGCATGAAACAGTACGGCTTTATCAACGAAGAAGGCGGTGTATTTTTAGGGCGAATCATGCACAAAGGCTGCCTCTGTGCCCTGGCATAAACCGAAGCCTGCCATAAAAATAACGGTTCTAAAGGCGCCCGTCATAAAACGTGTGCAGCGCCGCCCTCTCGCGGCCGACTCTGATACTGCGCTTCAGACGATAAGCGGCAGCGATGTGCCTTGCACGGTCGTAAAACTGTAACGAGAGAGACTGCTGCTGAGAGTTTTGATACCAAGGAGTGTTTGAAACATGAACAGACATGCTGCATAAGAAGCCGGAGAGGACTGCAGTCACACTTTACCTACTACAGTCAAACTTGTTCTATACAACACACTATTTTTATCCGCACTTATATGATTGTCATTTAGTGTGTGGAAATACCACTTTCAAACGCTTGCGAAAATTGAACATATAACGAACAATAAATAAAAGCCAAGAAATATAGAAAACGTTTCATATGACCACCCCTCTGCTCCACTGTTGCAGAAATATTGTATAACGTGCATTCACGTGTATTAGCATATCGTTTAAGCTTAGGCTATAAGCAAAATATATGAAATCATGCGCATTTTTCTGTTGATTAGTCTGTTTATCTAAAAAAAGGAAAAAAAACGGTGGCATATCCTATGTGTAGCACCGATATCTAAAACATTTCTTCGCGCGAAACAAGTTACGGAGAACAAATGATAAAACGTACACTTCCAGAATTGTTGAATCTTTCGACAAAATTGCAATATACGACTTAAATTAACATGGAAAAAGATTTAAGGTTATTCGTTTTTGTTGCGAACATAACATTAAAAAAGTTTCGAAGATTTTTTTTTTTTTTTTTTACAGTTCTTTGTGTTGTTTCTGCGAGCTATTTAGTTGTTTATGTATACAGTATACGTAAGTCGTAAAATATTGTTTTCTTGTTTTGTTTGTTTTGTTTTTAGTGCAGTGTTTTTGCCAGATGCATGTAGTGTACTGTATATCTTTGTGATCTTTAGTTGTATAATTTTCTGGGGATGGAGGGAGGGAGCTCTTCAATCTGATTTTTCAGCTTCCTTTTTTCCCCAACCTCTCCCATCGCTTTGACGGGAAATAAAGGTATTATTAAGATAGCCTATTCAGTGGACGCCATATTTGAGGGCGCTGTTTAGAGCCCATGCTCACGAGTTCATATTAGTAGGAACCTAAGGCCGGCAATCTTGGTGGTGCGCAATGCCCGTTGCAAAAGAACAGTGGATGCTCGCAATAAGCACGCGCTCAGTATTCGTACACACAGCTATGGACGCCAGTGAGTACTCCCTAGACACCAACTCAAGTCTCCGACGTCACGCTGCAGCGGCGGCGCTGCTGTCGGCACTGCGCATGCGCAGACTTCTCACCTCACGCGCATCTAGTTTCTGCGCATGCGCAGTGCCCACACCTCCTGTGTGCTAGGCGTGGACAGACGCGGGATTTTTTGAAAACAGCGTGATTGTGCATACCATAGAGTTGTTACAATGTACGCAAGAGGTTCAACTAGCGCCTATGCGACTTCCGTGGCGCAAATTGGAGCAGACTGCTATCAATCTATTTTTGAGGTGCCCTTGTGCATTCCTATAGAAAAACACCCGTGCATTTTGTCTCTTCGCCGGAAAATAACATGGAACACTTTTGTTATTTTGGTCGTACCAATTAGTATGTACCTTTATTAACATGGTAAAAGTGTAATTGCTTTAGCTAGCACGTTTTTCATCAGTGAACGATGTGTAACTTTGCTCTATTTCAGGCCCAAACATATGTTCCTCAGCAGGTGTGTAAAAACGAGCGACGATTCAAAGCAAAATAACAATCGAAAAGAATCGAGAGGAATGTACAGTGTGTTCAAGGTTCGCCAGCATTCCGGTGACGCTTATATATGGCCAATTCGCCAGTCCTGTCACAATATGAAAATGACCCCCGTCTTGCATCTTTACGTGAGGTTGAAAACATTCCAAACGTAAAGAGTAAAATACGTTCCAAACGTAAAGAATAAAATACGGACAGAACGATAGATGAGTTTCAGCGAATAACAAAGCTTATATTACTTTAACATCAAAGGAATTACGATGTTCGCAGAGACAGTAGCCTGCAGAGCGTTTCACTTGCTCACTCTTCGCCGTGATTGGCTGTGGCCGTGCTCTGCATGAAAGTTAACTCGCATACTTATTTTTAGAGGGCGGTGCGCTTGGATACAAGCAACGACTAATGCAATTTGTTCGGTAATTAGACGAAATTGCAAAAAGCAAAGCGTGTAATCCTGATTTGTTTATTTAATACTTCTGTTTGACAAACTCACGACGCGAACGATCAGTTCATTCTCTTTTTCAGACATAATGTAATATAAAACAACAAAACCAGGTAAAGGAATCTAAAGACCCGCTGTAAGTTAATTTACAAAAAGAATCACAAAAGCTTCTTTGAGAATACGGATTATGCTCGAGCACTTGACCTCCATCGCTTTAGTTAAGAAAAAACGAACCGCCGCATATATATATATATATAAAAAAAAAAGTTATCTTGAGTTTTTTGTGTTTGTTAATTGCCTACATGCACTTTTGCCATGAAATTGTTGATGACAATTCCACGTGTCATACATTGCGGAGGTTAAAAGCATATAAAAATGTCAGCATTATGGAAGTGCATTCCAGTATACACTCTAGATACGTCTGGGGGTAGTCATTTATTTAGTTCGATAAAAGTACAATTAATATGCTTTCTGTGCATTTATTTTTTATTTAAATGCGTTTCTTTTTTTTTTTGCTAGGAACATCGGTGTGCGTATATTTTAATGCAAAAAAACATAAAAAAATATAGAACGAAGAAGACACGTTTTATGTACGTGACAGTAGCCTCTGTACGCGCATTAGGTTCCAATGCTTCATGGATCCTGACCTGAGGGTATACACAAACCTAAAGTAACTATTTGAAATTGAACGAGGAACTCAACACGCTCGAGCTTACACGTACATCTCGAAAACCTCTGGACAGCCGAACTGGTACACTAGTAGCTGCCCCGCCCAGGCACATGTTTACACATCTTTGCTCGTTCTGCAAATCGCCGCTCGGTGGGCAAATAAACTAAGCGCGAAATAAACCGAAAAAAAAAAAAGAACCATAAGAGTAAACAGTATTCGACGATATTTTCGCACCTTACGTAGAGGCAGCTACCACCTCGTGGTGCTCGCTCGGGGCTTCGTCCCATCACAGCGGCACTGGACGAACGCTCGTCGCAAACACGCCGCACAGACCTTGTGAGTAACCTAATTTCCAGAGACACCAAGTTGCCACGGAGTAGCATGCTTATAGAGGTTAAAAGCCAAATTTGTCGAATGGAGGTTTAGATAACTTGAGGCTAGTTTTATTGCCTCCGCTGTAAGTGTGCAGTTTGTCGAGAGGCCCTTTACTGCTAAGCTTGGGCTACTTTTGTTAAGCTGCGTAACACAGCAGAGGTGACACGACTAACATGCTTGTCAACCTGCGGTACCTCAAAACATTGTTCCAAATCACAAAAACAAGAAACTGATATAGTTTCGTTGGCTGGAAAACAACTGCGTCTGGCTGGCGGCTTATAGCTCCTCATATGATAAAATATAGGAGACAAAAACGCTACAAGAACGGCATACTGTTACGTTGGAATCTTATTTCGGAACAATAAAATGTAAAGAAAAAGAATTACAGGAACGAGGGCAAAGGACGAGACTCTGGAACTGACCTGTCCTGTAAATCCGGGTATAAAACAATAAAAAAAATAGAAAAGAAAAACAAATAAACAAAAACAAAACGTACGATTAAGTAAAACGAAGAGGCAAGAAGGACTTACCTTCAGTGATCAGCGGCGTGGGTGGCAGCAGCATGCTGGTCGGTCCGGAACGTCGAGTGACGCCGGCTCCAGTCCAGCAAGGAGACACTCGCCCGATCGATCGATCCAAAAAAAAAATAGAGTTCACAAAAACAATGACAGACCAGCCCGTGCGTGGACGAAGACCGCGACGACGACGACAGCCCGACGGCACAGTCGGCGCGACTGAGCGAGCCGAGTGGACGGGACTACCACCGAGCCGAAGCAGAAAGGGGCGCGCCGCTCGTAGACCCGAGCGAGCCGATCTCTCGGCGGACGTGCAGCGGCGGGCCGACGGAGCGAAGCGGTGTGCGCGGGGGGAACTTCCGTCTCGGTGAGCGTGCGGCTCCCGACTAGCGGCAGCAGCACGGGGAGCTGCGAGCTGCCGCGGGACCTACCCCGAAACCGCTCCCGGATGCGGGACGGGGGCAGCCGCGGCGCCCCCCCTGCGCTCCTCATTGGCGGGACCGGCACGTGGCTGGGACGGCTGAGGGGGGGTCACTCCCTCCTCTCGGGCTCCCGCTGCTCCCGCTGATCGCGACGCACGCGCGCGAGGCGCGCGATGGAGCGGGGGTTCCACCGGCTGCCGACAGACGGCGCCACTAGAAAGAGCTGGCCGCCGCCGCTCATCCGCCATCTTCGGTTTCTTTCTCTAAGCGGCTGTTTTTGTTCGTTCGTTTGCTTGTTTTTCCTCTCCACCGAGGCAGGATGATGCAGATCCCTAGACGGATGCTGCTGCTGCATCCTTGTTGCTAAATTGCGCGCCCGAATCGTTGTAGGTGGTTAGGCCTTCGTTTATTTTTTTTTCGGTTGCGCGTAGCGTGCTGTTTTTTCTTGGTGCGGTGCGCGATGGTTGGTTGGCTCGTGTGGGTGTTTACGTGCTTCTGACACGCCGCCGCGGGTTTGGTGGATGATCTCGCCTTTTCTCTTTTATGTACTGTTATTGGGGGGATGTTACTAGTGTTTCGGCGGTACTGTGGAAGGGTTAGATCAGCGGAACAGGTTTATCGCGACGTTTTGTATATATATCTCTGCCGTCGGCTCCTAGTTCGCCCCCACCCCTCCTTTAGTTTTTTTATCCACGATCACGGTTAGTTTGGTGAGGGTGTAGTGGCGTATCCGGTGAAGGGGAAACAGGTACACGACTCTGGAACGCGTTGTAACGTTCGCTGAGTTAGGCACAGTTTTTGGGCCTAAGTTTAATTGAGCGTGAGGGAGAGGTTAACTAGTGCACGCCGCGGTTTAGAGGCATGCGAGACGACGATAGCTAGAGAATCGCAAAGCCAAAAAATAGAATCGTCGATGGCACGCCGCTTTTACTCGCACCCCCCCCCCCCTCCCCCTTTGTCGGCTTTCGCCCAGTAGAACTATATGGCCCGTCTAGGATAGCACCACTCTGCAGGTGGTCGTTTTATGAGCCACGAGAGAGCTATGCGGATAAGCGATACGGCCGAAATTTATTTTACCCAGGGTCGTAATTGTACCGTAAATGTATCCTCCTCGAACGTAGAAACAGCAACAACCGAATTTCAGCTCTCTCTTTTTTAGCGTTTTAATCGTGCGTATATGGAAGCACGAGAGAGAAAAAGCGGATTGAAAGAGAGGATTTTAAGCAGAAAATATAAATTAGCGTCAGCCACCGAAGCTTCTACCGTCACGTGCTAACAGAAATAACAAAGAAGGAAAACTGAGTGAAATAATGAAGTTTGTGTATGGCTGTTTTTAATTTATTTCCACTTAAAAAAACATACGACTCTCTAAAACGGGATCCAGTCTCGTATATCAAAAGGTTGCGATGTAACCCTTCCAGTGAATGAATACGAAACAACGTTGCGCCTTTAGAGTCAGGCACGTAAGAAAATGAAGCAAAGGATGCGAGGTGGCTCGGCTCCAGTAATGCTCACCTAACTCCGCCTTTACTGCCTGTTTATTTTCGAAGCCTTCATTCACCTTGCGGACCGAACGAGACTAGGAATGACCCACTCCACGGCCAAAGGACATTTTCCTGTTCCCCATCTTGCACGCTGTGATCCAAGCACTGCAGTATACGCGGAGCAAATCTGTATAGAGAACTGTCTTACCGCCGGGCTCGCAACAGCGAACCACACTCAAATCGATAGGCATGACGTTACACGTGTTCATTTTGTGTGAGAAGGGCCGGCTTGTTAGGAACAGCTGAGACCGTGCATGGTCTAAGATATATAATACACCGTTACTGAGACTTTGTGGAAGAAGACACCGCCAAAGCTATTCGCGACTCCAGCAAAACGGACGCCGCCAAGCGGGAAAACCGGGAACCAGTCGGTCCAGGTCGCTCCGCGCCCCGCCGCGTCTCTGATGGCTTTCGCGGACACGTGCTGTCGGCGCGGGGGCGAACAATGTAATTTGACGAAGGTCCGAAAATTTCTTAAGTTTGCCTGAGTGTTCATTAGTGCGGTGAAGCCTCAGTAGATTGTTTCTTTGCATCACGTGTTTGAAAGCCCGTTTACTCCACAACACACGGTCGCGTGCTTTCAATTTTTTGGATGAGGAGGAATTACGGAAAAACGTTTTGATTTCTCGTCTGTCTCGAATCACATTCAAAGTAACGACTACTTGGTGACTGATAAGTGGTTTCTTTACAAGGATGTAGAACAGTGGACTGAGGACGATAGACGAGGTGTTTCACTAGAGGGAACACCAATGTTGCAGTCAAGTGAATGGGAAGGTTCGATAGCTGCTTTCCTTGAGTTTGGCAGTGCTCGATTAACTTCAAGTTAATTTGAGCCACTAACGCCGGCCGGTGCGTTGGCTATTCATCTTGGCGGCTTTTCGCCGAAAAGGACCACATTGAGGGAGTTGGGCTAAAGTTCGCAATTACTTGATTCAGAAAACCTGCTCGCTGCATATGATTAATGAGGGAAATTATCTGCTTTCAAAAGGTGGGGGACGCGTCTCGCAAAGTTAGAAGCTGTCACGTCATTAGGATCTATCGCGCCTCCAATATTTATATTATAACCCCTGTCGAAGCCAGCAGCAATATACGTCTACGTTGCTCAGGTTGACCGGCCACGAAAAATACTAATTTTATTCGTTCAGGTTTCGAAGTCAAGTTCAATGCAGAGAGGTCTGAGTGAATCTCCGATAAAGACTCTCCTCAGTTTGTCCGCATCCGTCTCCGTTCTACCGGCTAGAACCATTTGGCTAAGTTTAAGTAGTATCTCTCTGTCTGTCAAATATACTTTTATTCAGCAGTTCACCTAATAGTTAGTCACCTAAGTTCATATTTCAACCTGAAGAATATACTAATATCGCTTTAGTGGGACGTAATATAATACATAATCCGCATATTCGTCAAAATGACTTCTCGATTGCTACTATACTAAAACCTGAATTGAAATACGAGTATCAGCTGTTTAGTGAAACGCCAGCGAGTTGACATGCTCCTTGGCTCAAGATGCGCTTGCTTAATTTTCGTAATTTTCCTGCAGCCTGCGTTCTTGACCGAGCACACGACTGGAGCTGTTTCTTGAAACGCGGACAGGCACAAAAGCTCAATTTCGCGGACAGATAAGTCGCATTGTCGAGGCATGCGAGTTAGTTAAAAATTACTCTCGGTGGAACAAATTTGTAGCCCTCGCCGCTTTCCTTAGATGATCAAAACTAATTAGAGTCTATTACCGCTTCTCCGGAGCCCATAGTTTCGGTTTTGATCGAAGTCTTCGAAACGAAAGTTTGACATGAAAAGAACAAAAAACATCGGCAAAACAAAACTATGCTCGGCAAGTTTATGCGCACCGGCTACACTTAATTGTCTCAGTTCAAATACCCATAAAATTGGGCATTCAACAAAAGAAAATTTGTTAAATTGAATGCGCCACCCATTCAGGCGGCCCGGCCGAGCCGACGCGACCTGGACTCAGCCGCCATGTTTGTTTGGTGGTGGCGCCCCCTAGGTCGCTGGAGTCGCGAATACTTCGTCTCACCTTAGTATGGACGATTGCTAGCCGCGCGTGTTAAAAGCGCGAGTTACCTCGAACGAAGCCGCGGCGGCTGCACGAGCCCTCGTGCAGCAAGTGCTCCAGTCAAGGCAGTCAAGGTTAGCCGCTCGCGCTAGCACAGCATTCGCGGTTAGTCCATGCTAAGGTGAGACGAAGTATAGCGCACGAGCGGAGTGACACGCGAAGTTGAGTCTCAGGGGCTCGCGCGCCCCAGGCTTGGGAGGCAGACGAAATCCGCCCAAGTACCGTTTCTTCTTTTTTTGCTCAAATTCTCTTTTGTTCGACGGGTGTTTTCACTTTTTTTGTTCTGTTTTTTAAGTGCAGTATACGAGAACCTATACACATCTTTTTTCCTTTCGCTTCATCCTGCGCAATCCGCGCGTCGACAAATTTTTTCGAACTAGTTGGGCGGCCAAGTGGATGGTGCGTGGGAGGAGGCTCTTGAGGTGTCCTCGCGTCCGTGCCGAGATTGCTCGAGCAGCTTAGCGCTTCGTGTGGCCTTGACACAGGCAGAGATGTGCGAAGGGGCATACGCACCGCGCGCTTGCCTATTATGCAGAGTGGGCAAGAGAGGCTCCCTAGGCAAGGGAACAAGAAGCGACGGACGAAACTGACCGAGGGAAATAAAACTATATAGGAATGGCCTTTTATTCATCTTTTTTTTTTTTTTCTAAGGGAAAAGAGGTCACCGTTAAGTGTTCTTCAGATCATGCAAGATTAGAGAGATTTGCGATCGTACGTGTCGTGTTATGCGCTCGAAACATGCCGCGCGGTTGGTTCTGTATGCAGGCGGTTGGTTCTGTATGTGTAGTGGGAAATCATTTGTCTCGCTTTATTCAGCTTAACCTGCGGTGAGATGGACGAGGATATGATTTGCTCTGCAATGGTCACGGAGTTGGGGTAGCGAATCCTCGGTTAACCTGATGGAACGAAGACCAGTGATTGGTATGCCGAGGCATTTCGGTGCGGTGTACGCGATTTTTAAGCTCGAGTCGTCATCTCAGCGTTCTCCAGCAGTAATGCAATCAAAAGGAATGGCACGACTCGTCGCTATGGGTATGGTTTCTACGTTCGTTTTATTATGGATTCACAGGTGATTTTTGAGAGGGGGATAGGTGGCCGAGCGTGTTGACGCACTCCAGTTCGTAGCACCTGTAGCGGAAGTTTGCACTGAATACCCAGGTATCCTGGGGTCGATCCTTGCCCGTTTTGACCTGGATAAACATCGCACCGACAG